AGGGGGCTCGAGCCTCCCGGCCTGGCCAAAGGGAAGCAGCGCCAGAAAGGGCTGGAATTCATGCGCTCGGAAAAGGGAACTCGGGTTATTTCTTTGGCCTGGTGAGTAAGGAGTTATACCCACGCCGCCTTCCACAGAAGTGAGACAGCTCCCCGCGGGTCCGGGCGGAAACCTGAAGTTCATTAGCAGTTTTCTTGACTCGAGCCCTTGAGCCTCGGCGCTCGCCCCCACGCAGGGCCGGGGTCCTCGTGAGTCCTTGCTCCTCTCCGGGGGTCCCTGGTGCGGGTCAGGCTTGGGCCATGGTGGCCTTCCCTGTCCCCGAGGCAGCCCACGGGTCCCCACGCCAGCACAGCCCCAGCTCCCCGTCACGCCATGTCCCTCCCTTCAACGCAGCGCTCGAGCCAGGCCGCACGGCGAGCAGTTTTCAGGGGCTTTAGAAACTGTTTCTTTTTCCTCCTTTTCCTTTTCACTTGAAAAATATTCCCCCAAACCCTTAAAAAAAAACAAAAAAAAAAGGAAAAAAAAAGACACAAAACACGCGGTTCATCATCCGCTGCCTTGGATTTTTTAAACCGGTTTAGAAACTTTATCGCGCTTAACTGCGTGATCTCGCTGCCCCAAAACAACCCTGGAGAATGCGCTTTTGTACCTGAGCATTTTATACTAAATCATTCACCCACTGCCTCCTCGTCCTACCCTAGCAGCTTTCTGAACTATCACGAGCCCGCGCCGCGGAGCGCCTACGCTAATAATTCTACCGGCAACAATGACGACGGTAATTTTTCCTTCCTCCCTCCCAAAGGCCTTGATGCCATGAAGCTGGGCACAGGTACTTTCACAAAAAAAGGGTATTTTATTATTCTTAGCAATATTCACCTTGAAGGAATATGAGGAAAGCATACACTTTTTACAGACAATATATAAACATGTTGTACATAATTAACAATAACTTAGTTCACTAATCCAAAAATAAGCAAAATAAAAAAATTAAAATAAAAACAGAAAATACTGCAATTTTTTTTTCTTATGCTGATACAAGTACAAAATAATTTAACTCGCGACTGCCGTTGTCTATGCTGCAGTGACTGACAATATATTGCACTTTGTCAACTGTATCAGTAATCCCTGTCTTCCACCCACAGCCCTTCCCCACCCCTGCCCAAATCCTACCGAAATTTGAGTCGGGTACAAATAATGTACAACTGTACCATTGTAAAGGTAAAAAGTAGAAAGGACCCAATTTTTTACCTCAGTAGATTAAAAAATCTTATGATTTCTCCCAACCAATTTTTATTCCCATTTATTTCCACTTCTTTACAAAGTGCACCTATATGCCTATGCAGACCAGAAAAAAAGAAGGAAAGCAGGATTTTCCATGGCTGCTTGGTCCTTAATTCATTATCAAATATTTGAATTATATATTTAGAAGAAAAATGTACATCCATTGTTATTTGTTTCATTGAGTTTTTTTTTCTTTGAAGCAGGATTTTTGCAGTAAAGATACAATTGGCTTGATCCAAAAAAAAAAGTAACCCCAACAACAAAAAAAGTTAAAAAGTTAAAAAAAATAAAATAAAAAGCTCGTCACAGAGTTAAGCTTACGTGGTTTACATTATCAAACCCCTCTGCTCAGTGGGGGCATTTTCATCAGAAGTATAGCTAAATATGTACACTGTATGTTATACTGGAGCGTGTGTTCACGAGAGGCATCAGATCATAACAATCAATAGAATACACTTCACATTGGCAATAGCTTTGTTTTCGGTCGTTTACGTACAGTATGGTTTAATAATGGGAGATTTAATTTTTTTCTCTCTTTTTTTTTTGTTTTCTTTTTTTTTTTCATATAAAACGCGCCATGGAAAGCGGCCGCCCCCCTGACCCGGGGCATTTCCCCCGCTCGGGCGCTGCTGCCGGGGGGCTGAGGGATGTGAAGACCCGAGCGCACG